CTGATTCCCGGCAAAAATGACACGAAATTTAATTTGTAGGTATTTATGAAGCGGCACGTCTCGCGAGCAATAGAGAAAGAGAGAGAGAGAGAGAGAGAGAGAGAGAGAGTTAGAAAAAGGGAAATCTCAAGTATTGTCCGATAAATATTGTCCGATAAATTGATCAACGATTTTAAAAGAAACAACAAAAAGGAAAGAAACGTGTTTCACGTATTTATCAGACATGTCCGCGATTTCGATAAGAAAGTCGCTTCGTCGCGTGAGTCGCTTCGTACTGTCTCCTCGCGCTGTTATATAAACATTAAAATCGATATCGACGCGCGTATCGTGACTGTAAGTTCGTTAATCGTGTCTCCTTCGTTCGCGGGAATATTCGGGCGGCGGGTCGCGCTAATTGAAATTTCCTGGATGTCGCGCGCGAGAGCGTGAGATGATTAAACTCATGAAAAACACAAAGCCGCAGGCAATCTCGTACGGCATGCGTCTCTTTCCTGATTGCTGCTGATAAGCAGCAGTTCAATCAATCTTATCATCTTTGCGACATCGTGTGAAATTCCCGCGGGGAAAAAGCAAATCCCGCAAATCCTTACGCATTTAAACTCGCTGCACTTGCGTCATCGCGCTCTTTGTGTTAAGCTAGATCTCTTTTCGCTCGATATTTGTCGCGTCACGGCGCAATGATACGTCAGGGACATGTAAGCTATTTTGCCGACGAAGAGACCTTAGAAGAGATCTTAGATGCTATAAAGATAAAGATAGACTATAAAGTGCAGACTAATAGTGCGAGAAACGGAGAAGATTTCTCTGCGGACGCGTCAGGCCAGCGTTGATTCCTGTAACAGTATTAAACAGCAAACTCTCGTAACGGGATTGGACGGTCGACAAGTCAAGGATACTTAGTTGCGAGTGTTGGGTCGAGCATTTTGAGCTTTGTCACTGCACGAGACACTGCAAGCGCTAATCCTCTTCGTTAAGCGAGCGCTTCAGCTTCAACGTCGCGATTGCATCGTCACGCGGTGTTCCGGTACGTAATAATGAAGCAAAATAATCCCCGCTCAAGTCTTCCCTCTGGAAACAATCACATGGATCTACTTACCCGTTTTGTTAACTCGTCGCATTCCCAGATCGAATCCCATGTCGTTACCCGGTACAACAACTTGAAAAGTACCGCGCGTTCAATTTTTTTTCGCGAGAGCAAACTGAATCAATTTTACGGAATTCGCGAACAAACTTCGCGCAAGCTCGCCCTAGTTACTCTCTACTTGTTCCGCGATCAATATTTGCGAAATATTTGCGTTGCGTCTTTTTTTGCGCGCAAAAAAGTATATACTTCAAATGAATACTTGCTTTATTCGAGCGAATTGCTCGTTTCAAGTACCTCACACGTTTTTAATATAAATCTATTGTCAGTTCATCACAAGTATCAAAGAGTGCGGCCAAGATGCTCTCCAATTTCTTCGTGTATTCGATTTCCTAATTAATTTTATTATAAAATCAAACATAATTACGAGAGTAGATTACGAAAATATAAGTTCCCAAGTATTTTCTTTTATCATCCCTGAGAAAACAGGCTTTAAAAGTTTCAAGTCTGACAGATAAAAATGGTCTGGCGCCATACAAAAATTAAAGAATATAATTTATTGTGTAAATAAGATATTTTTATTCAAAGTATTATTTGCATCAAGAGTCATATGATCAAGAGTCAAGTTCTCGTTGGAATGTCAAAATCATGGTGATAAACGTATCCAAGGAAGTAGATGATGCGTATAACATAAAATAATAATCAAAGAGGGAGGATAGGGAGGATAAGGGCCTATTAAAAGCCAACACACACAGGAGTAACAGCGTAATTAGGATTAATTTATATAATTAATAGTTAGTATATAGCCTTAAGGCTGTATGAGAAGAACTTTATTTAAAAAACAATAATCGGAAATCATACGCGTTTCAGCCCTATAAAATGATAAAACGGGCACGCTTTGAAACTTATATATTTGTAATCTCACGACTATCTTTGATTTTCTATTTTTCTATAACAAAATTAATCAGGAAATCGAATACGAAGAAATTGGAAATCATCGGTTCCCGCACTCTTTATTCAAAATACATTCAAAGTCCCAGTAAAAAGTTCAGTGAGTTTAGCATTTCAGTCAAGAATGAAATTAAAAGAGAAATTCGGTTTGCTTACTGCAGAGCTTACTATACAGAGCCGAGCCAACTTTTTCTTCCGTAAAGTTTTACGATATCCCCGTAAAGAGAAAATAAATTCTTCTCTTGGTACAAAAGCTTCCCTAAAATTTCTAATGAGTATTTCTTTTAAGTTCGTTATTATCAGGACATTTCCTATTGAAGATAAGCATTACTTAAGAGAAGATAAGTAAGCTGAGTGATCGCTTTTTCTAGTAGAATGACATATTTTCCTGCGTGTATCATCCTGCGAGAGAATCATGGCCGAACGGTCAGTAGCACGTTATTTCCCGAATAACCCTCCATTTTCATCGACTCTTTCACGGAATTTATCGCCACGGCAGCTCGCGCATCCCACGACTGACCTAGACGCGTTAGAACTACCGAGTACTCGTTCCGCTACTTTTCCCTCCGTCGCATTTCCGCGGCGCGGTGTCTCTCTCCTGAAGTCAGTTGTTCCTTTCGCAGGTTACATCGAGATACTCCGCGAATCCCGGCGGATAAAGCCTCACCTTAGCAGGGATGATCCTGCGAGATGGTCCCACGGTGGCCACGAATCGATTAGCTACTGAAAGAACGTTGCTCGCACAAACCAAATTTCCAGCTCCGTATTATCTCGTTATACGAAAACGCTGAAGTTTGCGATGCGTTTCACTCTGATGTATTGGAAGCTCGAGAAGGAAAAAAAGGGAGACAAAGACAGAAAGAGAGAGAGAGAAGAGAGAGAGAGAGACAGAAGTGCGATACCTGAAAACTCTTTCTCGGGAAAGTAAGAAAACTCTCTCAAATAGCGTTTCAAGTAATTACCCTTAGGATCATCTTTACCCGGAGAAACGACGGGATAAAGTTAAGTGGCTGCTGTTGCGCTGCTTGTTTCGATGCTCGTGAAAATTCAATTAGCCGCGCGTTCGCGTCGTTAGCAAATTGAGTTAGAAAATTAATTGACTTCTTCCTGTGTATCGGCGAGCCGTCCAATTTCGTCACCAACGGCGAAGAAGACCCTTTGCGTCATTCGCGTCAATCGATTCGCCCGCGTGCCGTTCCCCTCGCCGGAACGACGGACTTTCCTTCCGCACGTTTTCGCCACGCGTTTCAACATTAGTTAACGAACTTCAGTCGTTCTTATCGTTTTTCTCTTTTTTTCTTTTCGTACGCCGAAGTTTGTGTGTCTGCTGGGAATATCAAATCTTGGACTAATCTCTCCCCGACATGACGTGTCGCGTGCCACCATCGATCTTCTCTCGGCTTTCGCAACATTGCGATATCGTTGCGCTTGCCGTTGCGGCGCGTTAGGCGTTATTAGCGAGAATTCGCACGACTTGACCGTCCGATCGGCACGCAAGGACGCCTGCGACGTCGAGAGCCATTTATCGGCGTCGCATCGCGGCGATGATTATTCTCAGGCATTTCGATTTGTCGTCATTGAGCCACGCGAAGTGTTCTAGCCGCCTCTTAATAACGGTGAACCGATTCGAGCTCAAGTTTCATCGCGTTACGGCGGTAGTGCGAAAGCAAATCGAGTCTAATCTTATCTCCCGTAATCAGTCACTACTATCAGGCCGTAGATATTGTTACTACACGGAGAACAACTAGTATCGGATTACCGTTCGATAACGTTTCCCGGGATTCGCTGTGATCATCATCTGAGACTTGGGGTTTCATCATCTTGTTGTCAGCAGTCTCATTTTACGGTTATATAATCGTCAAATATAATATCGAGGGCTGTTTTAACCGACTTCAAAACAAGGAAATTCTCAGTGCTGTATGTACGTTTGTATTGTATTATACTTTAGAATTTAAAAACCGTCAGAGTTATTGAGATAACACTTTTAATTTGATATGTTATCTACATGATTCTTCGGTTGCATTCTGTTTCATATACATACGCGCATTTTCTAGAGTGTATGTGACATGAATTATAGATAAATATACGCATATGCGTGAAACGAAACGCGGCCTTGGATTATTCATATTTGTCCACGTTGACTTGGACATTGGGTGATTCCATTATTTTCTTGAAATTCAAAAACATTCAGAAGTACAAGAGATTTTTATTTTCAACCGACTTCAAAAACAAGCTTTTAGTAAATAATTGAAAAGTACGAGATAAAAGACTTGAAAAAAAGCTTTTAATAAAACGTAAAATAAATAACTATATCTTTTTCGGTTTTCCTCTGTTTTTGAGACAGGTCAGAAGATTAGTCACAAAAAATGTTTATTAAATGCAGCCTCTAGAATTGCAGTGCAAAAGAGAAATCTTTTGAGAACTCATGCATAGAACCCGAGACGATTGCGCAATCACAAAACAAAGGAAACTTCACGATCCTATAGTCACCCGGTATCGGATGACGCCAAACACATTTGTCTTTTTCTTCCTTTTTTCCTGACAACTTACATATCACATTACTTTAATTTTTAACCTACATTACCTCCGACTATCTTTTCATCTAAAGACTCTCCCACTATCTTAATATTTTCCCGATAGCACAACGTCAAAGACACGTCTGTTTCTCCACCCAGCTTTTAATAAAGTCCTAAAGTGTGAAATACAACTGCAAATCCTAATGTGTCAATTTAACTTATCTGTGTAATTTCCAGAAACCATTTTATCCGTATTACTTTAACACATACAAATTTATAGTATTTTACATTCGAAATAAATAATGTGATTTTAAAATGAAAAACATGTTATATAATGTTAAATATGTATTATGAAAATCACAAAATTGAAAACAGCTAAAAATAAATTGCAGCTGTTAACTTAAATATTATTTTGGCTGAATTTTTTACACGGTTCTTACCGTTTTGAGTCACGCTATTTTACATGCTTAAACGTATTAAATTATAATTTACACGTCTTAACGTGTTAAATGACGTGACTTAAAACAGTAAGGAACGTGTAAAAGGAGTTTCAACCAAATTATACGTTTATGTGCTTAAAGATAACGCATTTAGATTTGCAATGTAAATTTAAATCAATATATCAAAGCATCAGTCCTCTTTTTTGTCGGAGTGACGTACGGGCTGCACCTGACGAGTTTACAAAAAGAGCTAATTGTCTTGTTATTGTTTACGTAAAGAAACAGAAACTATAGCCAACGGTCGTATAGTGGGGAAAGTGATAAAGTTTATTCGATAAGAGGAATATGTTTATAAACACGGGGCTCGTTGGCAAATGGACGTATTGCGTGGTCGCATACACTCTTCATTTTCTAACGAATGTACTTCCACAATGCTATCTCAATATTCTAACAATATTAAAAGACGGTGCAAAAACTTGACTATACTGCAAATGGCTGAATTACTTTTTACATATTTCAAGTTGCGTTATTTAACACACTTAAGCGCGTTGAATTATAACTTACACGTTTCAGACGTGTTAAATTACGTAACTTAAAGCTCTAAGAGAGAAATCAGTGGAAAGAGCTTCAGTCAAATTGCATATTTATGCATTTAAAAATAATATACTTAGACTTGCAGCGTGACTGAGACAATAATCATACCTTTTCTTTTTGTATTATTTATCTTCTGCAACATAGTTAACTGCTTATCTGATTTTTCTCTTTTTCGATCGACTTATATCGGTAGAATATTAAGACAGGATTGTAGGCACATAGAAATATTGATTGAACACTATTATGTCCCGCGTGGTCTCCGCATAATTTTATATTTATATTTTTCTTACGAAAGAGGAAGATATGAATTGGACAAACACAAATAAAATTACAAAGGATACTGACGACGCTCAGGAACTTCGGGACTTTCGACCTAAGAGTCGTCAATGCAACCGTTAAATAAATAACTATATTTTTTTCGGTTTACCTCTACTTTTGAAACACGTCAGAAGATTAGTCACAAAAAGTGCTTACTAAGTGCAGCCTCTGGAATCGCAATGCAACGAAAGAGAATTTTTTGGGAATCCATGCACAGGACCCGAGACGCACAAAACAAAGGAAACTACGATCCTACCTAGTATCAGATGACGCCAAACGCTTTTGACTTTTCTTTCCTTTTTTCCAACAACTCATATAACGTTACTTTAATTTTTAACCTACGTTATCTTCGACCCTTCGCAGTAAAAGACTCTCCCACTAGCTTATCTCCTACTATCTATTTACTAAATAGCACAACGTGCAGGACATATGTCTGTTTTTCCACTTACTGTTTTAACCGAGAAGAATTCTTCTCGATAGTTCTTTCTGTCTTCTTCTCGTCATACGTCACTTGCTACATCCGCCCCACTTTCACTGCTTTCAACGAATCCAATAACTTATCCGCAAAATCGAGCCTATACTGCGAGCTTAACCGTTTCTTCCTGATTCTCTCGGTACTCACTCTCTTTGTTCAGTTCATTCGACCTAGACACAAGAACTTCTTTCCGTATGGTTAACTTTTTTTCGATTGTCCGTTCACTCAATATCAGCTAGAATTTAGTGGTGACATTTATTAGTGGTGATATTTACACTTCAAACGTTTACTCACATTCATCTTGGCAGTGTAACATCTTGTGCACGATCTACCATGTAAGTGACCATTTCACCAGAATCTACCATTTCCAGAATCGTAAACCTACTTTTATTATTTTAATAACTAAATTATTCTGATTCTATCTCATCTCTCAAATTCTCACATACACACGTACCGAAATCAACGCGTTCCGAAATCAACAAAAATCGGTGCACAAACCTTTTAGATCACGAGTGTACACTGAAACAATTAGTAATCATATCATGTCAATATATTACACATTCTGATTGCATCAAATTTTGAATTGTACTACTTTAAGTTGCACAAACTAACTTTATTCTAATCTTCACATTCTTTCCTACCCCAATAATGTCGATTTATAAAGAAAAATTCTGTTTCGTGATAAACGATACTCTGTATTGTTTTTAATTAACCAATCTCTTAAAAAAGGAGACTGTGTTCTATATGATATATGTTATATCATATAGAATCATCGATGTTAAGTTTGTTTATCCACATGAAAGATAAATTTAATATTGTTTAAATCAATCTCTCGGTTCTTCATTTTTCACGTTCAGAATAATTAATAAATTTGTTTTATTCTAAATTTAATTCAATTTCAATTTCAATTTCGTCAATGCATTTTTGTCAATGCAAATGTTACGGGCTCTCAATCCATAAAATTATTTTTCTCTAACACTCTAACATAGGTCCAGGTAAAGAGATAAAGTTTTCTGACTTAAATTAAGGACCACTCGTCGCGTGCAGCGCGAAACGGAGACCCTTTCCGCCTCTGACCTGCGCTTTGCAAGCGCGAGCGTGGTAATTGCTCATCTGTCGTGAGCGTAATCGTCACGTGACAACATCATTCCATACTTTTGAGATTTCTTTTGTTTTTAAACGATATCATGTTACACGAATCCGCGGGATTTTTAAGAACGAGTCGAGAAAACACTGATTCCAAATTTTCACTCAAATCACACACAGCGAGACCAAGCGCCGACCGTCTCGTTTTCGGCTTCGTATTTTGCTTGTGCAATTTGCGCATTCCACGCGCAAATACCTTCTTTGACTTTGATTTAATTTTCTCGTGGCACGGAGAAACGCGGAAAATGTATAGAGCGAGCAGAGAGAGCGCCGGGTGCGTTGTGTTCTTTCGCGTGCTCGCGGCCGCCTCCCGCGCTCGTATTTTCCGCCTCTCCGGCATCATTTTCCATTCGGGGTAGGGGCGCTGACCGACGAAACGGATGCGGAAACGCGACCGTGAATCGTTGCGTTACGAGCCCGCGCGCGCATGCATTCATGTTCGTGCGGGCGGACCGCAAGAATTGCGGTCGGGTTTGAAAGTACGATGGAAATTAATTTGCCGAGCTTAACGAACCCCAAGAGCCGCAAAGCAGCGGGAGGTACTGACGGAACGTCGTGTTAATTACGTCGGCACCGACCGGTGTACGCGCGGTTTTACTTCCACCCGTCGGCGAAAAAGAAAGAAGAATCGAAATATCGCGATTCGATACTCAAGTCCGTTCTTCGATATGCAAGAATGGTTGTGAAACAAAAAAAATTGTTAACGAACGGCGAGCCGAGAGTTTGCGGAAATAACACGCGCTCGCCTAGCTGACCGGAGCGAATTCGTGGCGAGACGGGCGATTGAAAGTATCTGTAAGGTAAAAGCATACCAATGCTCGGATACGTAAAGTAAAAGCGCCATTTCTCTCAAACTGTAAGAGAGAAAGAAAAAGAGAAAAAATATCTAAAAATATATTTCTTTGATGGAAATTTTAATAACGTATTTACGTTTAAATTTTTTTATTTAAATAGAATAAGCAATTGCTTTCATGAAAAAGCTAACATTTTCTCTCTTATTAAAGATCGTTCTCTCTTAAGAAAATGCATATTCTTTTATTTGAAAAATATCCTATATTAGTATATAATATAGAATATTTATATACTATTATGTTATATTAACGCTCACTGAAACATTTACCATTTCTTAATTTTTTTTTTTCAGTGTACCTAATCCTGGTCATTCTTGTTGTTTTGGTCTTTAAATACAAATAAATTTCCAACATAGAATATATCTATATATCTATAATTTATCTATATATATAATATAGAATGTCTGTTTTGTATATTTCCTATAAACTCCTAAATTTGACAGACCAAATCTAGACTAAATTTTGCATAATTACGCTCTAAGATCCTGCGGAAAGTATAAGCTACCATGAAACCTGAAGAGCTAATCTTTTCCCCCTGATTTCATCTCCTTCACACTTTGTGATAATTTGAACAACAGGGCTACTTGAAGTTTATATTCAATATATATATATATATATATATATATATATATATATATATATATATATATATATACACACACACATACAAAGTAAATCCCGTGACGTTAGATTCTAAAATACTCCTGTTGTTTCTTATGTTAGATGAAAATGTATAAGAAATAAATTGTGTGGTTGGGAGGAATAAGTATTGTGGTAAGCCAATCTTTCCAATTTATTGTATACTTACACGTTTTCCTCTAATATGAAAGAAACAACAGAGGTATGTTAAAATCTAGCATTAGAGTGTGACTCATCCTGTATATATTTTATGTTAGAAGTATATATTTTATGTTAGAAGTTTAAATATTCGCACTTAAAGACCAAGTCGATGAGAATATCCAGAATCAGGTACATGTTCAGGTACTTTTACTTTACATAAAATATCCTCGCGTGCGGAGACAGTTATTAGTCCTCGTGTTTCGCGAGTCCAGACAACGCGTTCTTCATTATCATGTCGCGGCGAAATGTGCCCGTTTCTGCGAGGCGCAAGGGCAATAAATCGCCGATTTCACGGACACGTGTCCCGGGCGTCCGCGGAGACCGCAGTGGATTACGAGACACCTCGCCCCGTCTCGCGAGGGTCGGCTGGGAAATTAGTTTCCGGGCTTAATGGAGTTGCGCGGAGTGCGAAAGATGGGTGCACCTCCGAGGCGACGACTACGAGGCTGAAGTTCTCGCAACTTTCGCAATTTTTTCAATTAGCCGCGATTTTTCAGCGACGCGACGGCGCACGCCGCACCGAGGAACGGAGGAGAGGGCGGTGGGAGCGCGTTGCATCCCCAGTGGCAGGGGTGGTGGCGGCGGCGACGGCAGCCTGTTTGTCGGACCACCCCCTCCCACCACTTGGAGATTCCGTGACGTAACTACGTTACGCGTATACTGGGAAAGTCAAGCGACGTTATGAAAGTCTTAGACGGCCGCGCAAACTTCTCTGCTGAGGTAATCTGCGCGAGTCCCCGAGATACCCATTCTTCTCGCAGACAATACCCTTTCTGTCATTAATGGGCCGCATTGTGCGCGGCTTGTATCGCGAACCGATGAAACGCGGCGAATGCGCCTCGACGGCGGTGGCAGAGGCGGCAGCGTCGGTGACGGCTACTTCCTGCCGACTTCCGGTTTGATCGTATCGATGATTTACGAGCCTCGAAAAAGGAGCCCGAAATCGCGCAGTCACTTTTGTAAAGCCTCGAGGGAGAGTTCCCAAGCGAGAAACCCGTGCGAGTCGACAGAGATGTGTTTATCGCTGTTATCCGTCGTAATTCGAAATCCGTGTGTTTATTTGTATTTCCTCAGGGGAAGAGGTACGCGATGATGCTTCGCGCGCGAGAGTTGCAGCGAGGTATATTGGTGCGCAATCACCTTTTCGTATTTCAAGATCGGCGAACGGGTTGCGACGTTCCCGCAAAGCGATAGCGGAACGGCACGAGACAGGGTGGGAACGGACGGGTGGATTGCACGAGGGAGACAATTTATCGCGTCGGAGCCGATAAGTCGGCGCGGGTTAGATCAACTGAAACGAGGGGAAAATTTTATAAACTCTCCCGAGTCAGTTTCAGCGGCGGGAAAAAAGCTCCATTCGTTCGCTCTTTCGTTCGTTCGTTCGTTCGTTCGCTCGTTCCTTCGTTCGTTCGTTCGAGAGCAAGCGAGTAGACGGCTTATTGAAGGCCGGGGAGACAAATGAAATCGGAAAATCCTGCCGTGAAATAGGATAATCTAAAACTGGCGTGGGGCGCTGATTCCCCCCCCCCTCTCTCTCTTTCTTTCTCTCTTTTTCGCGAGTACTTAATATTGCGACGTTTCAATATCGAACGGGACACCGGGGGTTCGTTAGTTAAAGAGACGAGAACGAAGCTTCCCTTTTACTGCGCCCGGCTCGACGATTAATTTTCGAGCAGTGTCGGATCGTTTATACGTGTTTCATCCCGCGGAAGCGGAAGCAGGCGCGCACGCGGAATCGATAACGATACGATGATACGGCACTAACGAGGCAGCGGGACACGGGTGAGAGCGGAAACGCGTCTTCCAGAAGCGACGGAGACGAAGAGAAGATTCGAGATTCCACCCGGCCAAGCCGGCGCGCCGACTTAGACTATGAACCCGGCGAGAGAAGACGGGGAGACGTCACTAATTGGAGACGGCGATAAGTCGTGGTAATGAATGTCACGTCGTTCTGCGAACAGCGTCGGTCTCTCGCGTTGTTCCAACTCGCGCAGCATCGAAACGTCCCGAAGATACGAAGTCCTCGCTGCGGCATAGCGATGGAAACTCGACTATGTGAGAAATTACGCGGTAACGTTACCGTTATCGTCAAAAGACGTTCGGGACGGGCCGCGATCTTCCCGAGGACGTTTTTCAGATGTCTTTTCCGGGGGAAGCAAGTTATTTTAAAGTTAGTTTTTTACTCAAAACTAAGATGACGATACCTGATTGGTCCACATCCTGTCCGTCATTTACAGGGATGACGTGAGTGGGAATGAGAGAGAAGCTTTAGTAGGAGTCAAAGACAGAGAGAGAGAAAGAGAGAGAAGTTTTAAGTCCGGATCTACAATAGTAAGTGTTTAGCTCTATTAGGCTCTAAGTCCAAAATTGTAACGTAATTTTCGGCTACAAACATTTTCTACTGCTTCCTGAAATCATAATTTCCAAACTTTAAGCGAGTTAGCCATATTTTATAATTGTTAAAGCAGCGCGGACAATGCTTTTTGTAAAAAATTATAAGCCTTAGAGCATAAAGTTTACTAAAGGTTTACTACGCCTATTAGGTCCGAGCTAAGATTGAAACGACGAAGCACGCTGCAGTTTCTCTTTCACTTTTCACTCCTTCCGACAAATGACGGACGATGTTGTCAAATAATTTGAAGAAGATGAAAGGAGAGATATATCTCACTTTTTTCAAATTTAGGAAAAGATCATTCCTCCTGTTATCACGAAGAATTGGTGGAGCTCGAAAAACTCCAATATTACTTAATTAGAGATTGCTTATAATCGGTTCGAGCAGCAGCTTTGCCAGAAATATCGGATGCGGTTTTACAACTTTCTTAACTTTTTATGTCATGAATTTTTGTATTAAATCAATCATTTTGAAATTATGTTTCCGGAAATTTTTCGTTGCTAATTATAAATTAAAAGTCAAATTTTTTAATTAAAATTCAAAATGTTTAATTAAAATTAATTTTTAATTAAAATTCATATTGGTTTATACTAACTCCGTCATTTTAAATTTAAAAAAATATGAGTATTCTGACTTCAAATTAAGATTCAGTTTCTTAAAAAATCTGTAAGACATCATTATGAAAGATATACAAACTATTCATCTAGACTTACAGTAGAAAATATTGATTTTTTCATATTTTTCAGATTATTAATTTATAATAAAAAACAACATAGCGAAAAATCTGACAAAATTCTAAAAAAAAAACTTTAGTGTGTTCTAAATAAGTGCCTAAATTGCCGTTTCGATAAGAGTTTAGTAGAAAATAAACGAATGTACAACTGTTTCTTGTAGGAACGCTTTTATTAAACACACGGATGTTAACAAAGACGCGGCGTGGTCGAGCAAGGCCAAAGCATAAATTGAACACATGGCTAACAGTCAGAGCCAGAGACTGGAAGAGCGAACGGCTATGTCTAATTAAACGGTCGCAAAGCTCGTAAATTAACAGAGATCTTGAGCGCGAAGCAGAGAGTCTTTAAATGAGGAAAATAGGAGCTTTCCGACTACCTACCAAGCGCGAACTATTCAACGTATTTTCGAAAGAGCTGCGACTGATTCGTACTACGTCGATATTCGACTCTCCCTCTCTGTCTCGTCCCATTTTATCTCCTTTCGCGGAGCGCAACCCTTTCTCGAAAGCATTAGGAGCTTTCGTTCTCGACACGCGCAAGGATCACATCCGCGCGACTGACGTTGAATCTTACATGGATCAATCAAGTCCTGCCAAATACTCGCTAGATCTATGTGTGTAGTGAACAAGTTGCTGAAGGCAAATGTATCCATGTTTCACAGTGTCCTAACTCAGATTAAAGGAACCCTAGGCTATTTGGACTTGCAGCGCTTTGAGAGAGGTAAAAGCGCGAATCTCGTATTTTTCTGAACGCCCGCGGACGCGAGAGACAGCAAAGCTCTGCAGTGCAAAAACAAAATTTGCGTGTATTTGACAGTGCGGGAAAGACATTACCGGACAGAAGAAGTCCGCGATCGTCAATGATAATCGCGCGATTACACTACCTCGCGTGCGTCAGACTAACGTGGGGAGACGGCTATTCGATCCTGTGAATTGACGAGGAGGAGCCGCGTGAGAAACGCTCCTCGTCAGTACCTCTTTTTCCCAGCGGCCTAACGAAGTCTTATTCGCCCGTCCCTTTTTCCGCCGCGACCTTAAAAGCCCTCAGCCCCGGACTGGGGCTTTAACGTCGTTCTTGGTCGGCCGATCCGCTTTCGCGACGCCGGAGCCGGCCGCGCGCTCCCTCTTAACGGCACGAGAACCCGATATCGCATTTGCATATCGGAAAAGTCGTCGATCTGTCGGAGAGAGGGGGGATAAAGTTTCGCTTTATTCGACGTATCGACGGGCGGAAGCGAATCGACGTTTCGCTCTACGCCCGAGGACCGAACGACGGGAAACAAGGTAGCATTAACAGGATGGAACGCGCGGAGTGAATTTTCGTCGTAGCGCCGATATTAATGCAGGCTGCACTGGCCAGTCGATTAATTAACGCGGCTACTGTGCTGTCTAATCATTGTTTAGATTGGGTGTTTCGACGTGCAAACATATGATATAGTGGATAATGGCGAGAGTAAATAGGGGCGTTGTTTGCGCTGTGTAGCATGACTAATTGCGAGCGCGTGGCGCGCGACCGTTTTCGAGTGAGCGCTAGTTGCTCATTTTCTCCATGTCCGGTGGCCCGTTGACGAAAAGTTCGTTCTCCGTCGGCGATGTGCCGTCGTGCTCGCCGAGTTGCGGGACGCACGAACCAAGCGTCGTTCGGTAATGACGCGGATGTGGGATGTGAAAAAAATCAACGTTAAACGATGTGTTCGATTGATTGATTCCCGGCAAAAATGACGCGAAATTTAATTTGTAGATATTTATGAAGCGGCACATCTCGCGAGCGAGAGAGAGAGAGAGAGAGAGTTTTGGGTTTTGCGTCCGGTTACTGAAAGATCTGAAGTATTGTGGAATAATGCGATGGTGTAATTTTCTTTTTATGATTACAGATTTTTTAACTGAGAATGCGCGATGACGCAGCGAGTTTACCAGTGGTCCACGAGCCCTCACGAGGTGTCTCAGGATACTCCAATGGTGACATTCAAATCAAACTGCCACCGTCAGACAAAGATCCTATCGAAGCGTAAGTGTATTAATATCGGTGTTCGTGTTGGCTTGCTCGACGATCAGCCTTAAGGCAAGTTTCAATTCACTTGCACGGAAGAGAAAACATTAGCTGCGCCAGCAAGAATCTATGTGTGGTACTTTTTAAATTTCTTAAAGCGAAATCTCATCCAAAAAGAGTGTGAGAAGTGACAGTATTTCCACTTGAGTGTGAGAAGTGGCAGTATTTTCACTTGAGCAACAGTGAAAGAACTACCACTCGAAACCACAAAAGTGAACATTTCATTTAAAATTAGAATAGATTTCGACTTTAAATTAACGAATATTTTAATCGATTAGAGTGAATATGTTCCTGTGACGATGGAGTAAGGTAAAAGCACCAATACCTGGGCATTAATAACACTGATACCTAACTCTGAACATGTTTATTGTTTTGGTTGTTAAAAACAAATATTCAGATTTTCAATATGGAATGCATATATTCTGCGTTCAAAGTTTAAATATTCATATAATAATATAAATCAAAGGCAAATGGAAGGGAGCCAACACAAATAGCATTGCTAAATAAACTGAGATAATAGAGTGTCACACACAAACATATAATAATGTCATAAGCGAATATTTTTGTTCCTCGATTTGGGTCCCTTTTAGCTCAATATACAAAATTTATAAATGTGAAATATGTAAAACATAGTATTTCAACAAAATTTATTGAAATTATAAATAAATTCTATAAAAAAAAAGAAAACAGAACGTATATTTTCATCCTACGTTTTGAAATATGTACATGTAATCAAGGTTCTCGAGAAATAATTCATATAAATCATAGGCAAATAGAAAATAGTGAGTAGCGCAGATAGTTTTGCTAAAAGAAATGAGATAATCGAATTTTCAACATAAATATATAATGATGTTATAAATGAAAGTTTATTTATCTGTATTGGCTTCTATTTATCGTTGATTTATATAATTTGTTTCTTGGAAATTGAATTTTGTACATTGCATTGAAGAGGGTTCAAATCGAGGATCGAAATGTACATTATACATTTATGTTTGACACTCTATTGACTCACTTTATTTAACAACGCTATCTGCGTTAGCTTCTATTTGCCTTTGATTTGTATGATTTATTTCTTGACAGCCTTGATTATATGTATATATATATATATATATATATATATATATATATATATATATATATATATATATAT